ACTCGCATTGCAGTTAAGTGTCTAATGATTCTAATTTAGAGGAGATTTATTCATATTGAAGACTCGTTCGAATCTAATTTCATGAGTAATTGATTAATTAGAGCTATTCATTGTTCAATGGCAAATAAGAAGTTTTAATTGCTGTAGTTTCTTTAAATGCTCATTGAAGTAGGACCTGTTTGGAATAACTGATAAATAGCTTTTCAATTATAATTTATGAAATACAAAAAAAATATGTAAGAAGAACTTTGTCTCAATTTACATAAAACGTATTTACAAGTGATTTCAATCGTGATGACAAACAGAGCTGTAGTATCCAACTTCTTTCCTATGGTGGCTCTAAAAATCCATAAGCGATGAAGGCTAAGCAATTCTTTAAGGGCGGTTGTTAAGATTTTTTTTTTTTGGTGATACAAGGAAAACAACACAGATTACACGTAGACTCTTCTAGGAAATTCCACTCCAGCACTATCTTCGTGCAGAATTTCAATCACTTCACGAGGTGGCGTGGCCCATTCTTGCCTTCGCGTTCCGATTTTTCCACTGAGAGAAGCAAGCTTGTCCGCACAGCGATTGCTCTCCCTGTAGGTATGCTTGATCTTCATTGTCCAGTCTCTATTTATTAGATCCCTGATCTTCAGGGCTAGCAGCTGGTTATAGTTTACCAGCCTCTCACTGTTGATGTCGTTCACTAATTTTTCTGCATCACTCTCCACAATGACTTTTTCAAATCCAACTTCCAGCATAGTCGTAATCCTTCAATAATTCCCCATAGCTCCGTGCTCGCGACATCTCTCTCTCTTAATTTCATTGCAAATCCTCTCAACCATTCTCCACAATCACCCCTAATTACTCCCCCACAGCCCGAGTCCCCTGTTTTTGAGTGCATTCCATCAACATTGATTTTACACCAGCCCTTCTCCGGGGTTTTCCATCCCACCATAATGATCTTCTCTTTGGTTTCTTGGGTTCCCACCGGTTCCCAACGTTGTCTAAAATTCTCAAGATGCTTCTTGACCACTTCGGCTCCATTCCATGGGTATCTCCACTCCTCTCTATGTGTAAGGCAATTTCTCCATTTCCATAGATGCCAACACCCTGCAGCAAATAATTCTGGCCAGCGCACCTCCTTAAGCCCCATAGCTTGTTTTCTCATGTTGCGGTTGAACCATTCTTTCCAGTTTCCAGTAGTGAATTTTTTCCATTGATCTCTTGGCACTAACTTCCTCCATAGGAGCTTGGCAGCTCGACAGTCACGTAGTACGTGTAACTGGTCCTCTTCATGTATCTCACAGATTTTGCAAATGTTATTGCTTCCAGTCCATTTACTCGTGAGGACTTGTGTTGGAAGACGGTAGTGACAGGCTTGCCACATGAACATTTTGATTCTTTCAGGTACTTTTAGCTTCCAGATATATTTCCAGTGTTTTCCTTCCATTTCCTTGCTGCTCTGCTGCATCCACTTATAGGCGCTTGCTATCGTAAACTGCCCATCCGGTGTCCATCTCCATTTTACTTTATCCTCCCCTCCCTCTGGTTGTGGGGGAAGCATGAATATGATTTTGTCCACCACTTTCCTCGGTAAAGCCCCCTCTAAAACATCTATTTTCCAATCTTTATCCTCACCTATAAGATCCTTCACTCTCAAGTTATTATCAAGCTTACTTCTGTCTGTCACGTAGGTGTATAAGGGTTCTAAAGCTTCCAGCCATCTGTCTGTCCAGACTCTTGTGTTGATGCCATTTCGAATTTCCACACTTAAGCTTTCCTCAAAAATTTCTTTCAGTTTCATTAGTTCCTTCCATAGTCTTGAATCTGCTGCAGCTGCTCGCAAGTTCCAATTCCCCTCGTTGTCTCTTCTCATATATTTTCCTGACAGCACCTTAACCCACAGCTCCTCTGGTTTGTCTTGCATTTTCCAGATTAGTTTTAGCAAAAAAGCATCATTCATTACACTGAGGGATTTAATCCCCACTCCCCCATCATCCTTTGGTTTGCATAGAGTATCCCATGCAATGGGGTGCCATTTCCTTTGCCCATCCTGCTCTCCCCATATGAATTTACGTTGATCCTTCTCCAGCACTTCAATAACATTTCGTGGTATTCGTTCATGCTGCATGGTATAGAATGGGATAGAGTTTGTGACTGCATTGACGAAGGTTATCCTTCCTGCTAATGAAAGGCTCGCTGCCTTCCATCCACTTAACTTCCTCTTCACCCTTTCCTGGATGCTTCTGAACTTATCTCTTCTTCTCCTAGGAAACGCAATTTCTGCTCCCAAATACCTCCCTAGATCCTCCACTTGTCGAAACTGGCTCATTCTACATATTTCTCTTCTTGAGTGTTGTTTCACATTCGGAGAGAAACATATCTGAGTTTTTTCAGCACTGACTCTGTGGCCTGACATTCCTTCGAATTCCTGTAGACAATTTAGAATGATTTCCATTTGCTTAACATTAGCCTCTGCAAAAAGAACAAGATCGTCAGCAAACATCATATGGGATATTATGGGTGCACTCTTTCCAGCTCTCAAACCTCTCCATTTTTTCTCTCTCACTCTATCCAGGATCATATGTGTGAGTTTTTCCATTCCAAGCACAAAGAGATAGGGCGAAACAGGGTCCCCCTGTCGGAGTCCTCTTGTCGGTTTGAATTCTTCCATTCTTTCCCCATGCCACAAAATTTTTGTTGACGTAGATGTCATGCACATCATTATTCGTTCAGTTAGCTCCTTTGGCCATTGGAGTTCTTGTAGTACCTTCTGCAAGAAATTCCAGCTCATTCTATCATATGCTTTTTCAAGGTCTACTTTAATTGCCATAAAACCCTTTAACCCTTTCTTCTTCCTCATCGTATGTATTGCTTCGTTCACAATAATGATATTGTCCTGTATATTTCTTCCTGGGACGAAGCTTACTTGAAATGGGGAAACTGCCTCCTTCATCGCCTCTTTCATTCTCTCTACAATCAACTTGGAGATGCATTTGTATAGGACGTTGCACAATGAGATTGGTCTTGGCTGTCCAACTTTCTCAGGTTGGTCAACTTTAGGAATCAGTGTGATTAACGTCTGGTTCACTTCACACACCCTTTGAGGTTCGTTCCATAAGCGTTTTACTGAATCACATATGCTATTCCCAATTATACTCCAGTTCTTTTGAAAAAAGAGTGCCGGGAAACCATCTTCTCCTGGGGCTTTCAGGCTTCCTATGGAAAAGATTGCCTTGCGGATATCCTCATTGTTGATTTCTTTTTTCAAGACAGCTTGAGTCTCTGCCTTCATTAGAGGCCACGAGTGCACTGTTTGGTGCCACTCTCTTTCCTCATTTTCTTCTGTGAAGAGTTTTTTGAAGGCTTCATTGATCATCTGCCCTACCTCTTCCTTTCCTTCTACCCATTTGCCGTTTGCATCTTTTAGACAGGTCACTCTATTTCTTCTTCTTCTAATGTTTGTCTTAGTATGATAGTACCTTGTGTTTCTATCCCCATCTTGTAGCCATTGGGTTCTCGCTTTCTGGAACCAAAGTAACTCTTCTTGCTCCAACACTTCACGCAACTCAATTCTAAGCTCTTTTTCCAGCCACTCTAATCTTTTGCAATTTCGATTCTGGAGAGCTTTTTCAATTCCCTCTATTCTTCTTTCCAGCTCTTTTTTCCTTTTTGCTATATGCCCGAAAACTTCTACATTCCATACTTTTAGATGCTCTTCCATCTCTCCCAGAGCTTTCCAACTCTCCGTGTTATGGTTCCACTTTTCCTTGATTACTCTAGGAAAGTCTTTGTGTTTACACCAGGCTGCTTCGAACCGAAAAGGCCTATTCTTTCTATTTCCCCTGTTCACTGTTAAAGCTATCAACAAGGGGTGGTGGTTAGATTCCAGTCTTGGGCCAACTTTCACTACAGCTTCACTGAACTGATTCCTCCAAGACGTGTTACATAATGCCCGGTCCAGCCTTTTATAAAGTCTATTTCCAAACTGAGTTATTGGGCCTTTCCAAGGGAACTTGGGCCCTTCTGCTCCCATCTCTAACAGTCTACATCTTTCAATGTTCTCATTAAATCTGGCCATCCTTCTTGCGTCCCCACTCCCTCCTCCTCTCTGTTCTTCGTGGGTCCTAATGTCATTAAAGTCTCCCGCAACAAGCCAAGGCTTGTCCATTTTCTTGCTGATTTCTATTAATTTTTCCCAGAGTATTTTCCTCTCCATCTCTTTGGGGCTTGCATACGTTGCTGTGAAGATCCACTCTTCTTTACCCATACCTTCCACTTGACAATGAAGGAATTGTTTATCTGATTGAAGCACTCTTATACGAATCTCATCATCTTTCCAAAGTACCCAAATCCCACCAGACATTCCTTGGGCTTCTACCACAGCTTGGTACTTGAAACCCATCTTTCGGATCACTTTTTGAGCATTCTCTCCGCTACATCTTGTCTCAACTAATACTACTATTCGAGGTTTAAACCTCCTTGTCACTTCTTTTAGGGCGATACCGAAATCTTTTCCGGCGGCCCCTCGCACATTCCATACTAGAATCATTAAGACTTGAAGCTAATCACGACTAGCTTAGCTCAATTCGACACTGTCATGTGCCCAACTCCTCCTTTCGGCTCCACTCTATTATTCTCTTTCAGCTGCTCATCACATATTATTTTTTCCACGTTCGACAAACTCAAGTAGCCTGTAACCTCATTTGGGTCAGGTGGTTCCGCATAATCTATCAGGGGGTTCTCCCCACCTGTCTGCGGTAGGCTTTCAAGAAAATTCTCCATTATGTGGGCTTCTATCTCCATTCCCTCACTGTTTCCCTGTTGCCCATTCTCCTCTCGTTGCTCTAGCATTACTTCAGTTCTCTCCTTTTCTGGCCCATTTTTCAGCTCCTCATCCTGGCCCATTATAATGTCCCTCGTTCTGTTTTTGTTTTGGGCCTCCCCCTTTTGAGAGTTCCTTTGATTTTTATTTCCCCCCTTTGACTCCCTTAACGTACTCGCAACTGGATTCATTGAAGCGTCACCAATCTTTTCCTCCACCTTTTTCGCTTTACCATAACCCTCTTTTTTCCTACTCGCCGCTCTATTTTTCCCCCTTCTTCTGCTTTCTTTTTCTCATTTGAGGTATCCTTCAGAGCTCTTCTCTCCGTACTCTCCTGATTTCGTTCCATCTCTGCCACTGGCTCATCTTCTAAGACAGCAAATCTGGACTCACTGCTTGTTTTTCCGTCTCTTCGGCCGCCTCTACTCTGACCCACCTCTATCTTGTCAGTCCTAGGTACCCCTTTTCTTCCTTTTCTCGAGTTCTGTACCACCATCCACCCTCCATACACCGCCGATTGCTCCTCCTTACTTTTCCGGCTGTGTTCTCCTGCTCCGGTACTCTTCTCAGTTTCCTTCTCTTTTGCTTTTGTCGTCTCTCTCTCGGATGATGGTTTTGCTGGGCAGTGGTCAGCATCGTGCCCAAATTTTCCATAGTGAAAGCATATGAGGTGCAGTCCCTCGTATTCTATTCTGAGCTTATTCCCATCTATACTATAAGCCGATAAGAGGGGAACATTCAGGTCAATCTCCACACACAAACGGGCATACATGGTTCTTGCTCTTGTTAAGGTCATTTCATCAACCTTAATAGGCGTACCTATTTGGCTCCCCAGGTTGTAGAAGAATTTTTTATCATAGTAGTCCCCAGGTAAACCAGGAAGCCGGACCCAGGCTGTGACTTTTTGAATTTTTTCATTCCAGGGGTTGAAATTGCTTTTCCATGTTTGTACCGTGAGGTAATGGTTTTGAATTAGCCAGGGGCCACCCTCTAGAGCAAAATAATAGTCATCTATATCTGTAAAAGTAGCAGTCATGTACCCATTACCGATATCGGATAATGTCACAGTCCCTGTCTTTCCCCACATTGCCTGCACTATCCTCCTCATCCTCATGAAACCCATCGAGCCTCCTAGTAACTTCACAATTAGCGTACTCTACCATTTCTTCCCCAGTCTGTTTCTTTCAGCCTCCGAGAAAGTGATCTCTGGGCCTCTTTCAGTATTAACAATGGTGACTCCCTCCTTTAGATCAGCATCATCATACACAAGGAGGCTTCCGTCCCAATCCTCTTCCACATCTTCTCTGTTCTTCTCGCTTTTCTCCTTTTCTTTTCCTGATCTTGGTTTCAGTATCTCCCTATAGGTGATGGGTTCCTGTGCAACCAAGTCTGGAACTTCCATCTCTTCTTCCATCCAGTCCTCGTGTCACGGTTTCAAAACACTATCTCCGGTGAAATTTCCTACTATTTTTTGTAGTTTCCCCCTGTTTTCCAGCAACTCTTTGTCCATTTTTGAAACTTCTCTTTGTTCTTCCAGGTTTTCCCTTATCGCGTTTCTCTCTTCAGTGCTTGGAATGGTACTAGCTCTCCCTTCTGCAACTGTGTGATCTCCCAAAGGACGATCAGGTGGTTGCTTCCGGGACACGGAATCCTCAGCATTCATGTTCACTCTCACAGCTTCTCTCTCTAACTTTCTCTCTCTTTTTTCAAGTGCGGTTGTTAAGATTTGTTTGCGTGTTCTTTCGAATTTGATTGCATTCTCTCTCATCAATTCGATTTCAGCAACTGTGTTTCGTACTCTCTGAAAATTTTTGAACCAATTATTTGAATAAGATAATTTTTCTTCATTTTAATTTGTTGAAGCACTCAACTCACTGATTTTCCAGAGAACTTTAGCTCCTCAAGAGTTCGACTTAGGACATTCACAATTTACTATATATTTGATAAAATTTGATAAGCTCAAGCTATAGAGTTCATCAAAGGTCCCATAACTAGTGTTCATTTCTAGTGTATCTATTTCCAAACGTGTTTACGCGTCATTAAAATTTCCTGCAAGTTTTCACCTATATTTTACAATGTAGATTATGCAGGTCAAATTTAGAGTATTTGATTTGTCAAATATCAAAATATTAAAAAAAAAAAAAAAGAGCTTCTCTACCTCCATTCTATCAATGTATAAAAGTAAAAATGATACCAGATTTAACGTGAAAGCCCTCTGATACCGAGGGTTTCCACTATATCCAAGATCATTACAATCCTTTTCGGAACAGTACACTTTTAAGTAAAAAGATAAGTATAACATGTAAGCACTCCTAAAGTTACAATCGGATTGATGAGTGCGAAATGAATAAAAACTCGACCTCACTTATGATGATTCCACAAAGTGAGTGATATTGCTCTTTTTAATTCTTTTTTGCCAAATATATGCAATCTGAGATTTACAAAAATCAGCTTTTGACCCTGCAAGGAAAAAAAACCAGGAATGTAAAAAAAGTTCAAATTTGTTAGTTACGAATTTGCCATTTTCTCTAAATTTCCCCTCTAATTATACCTGAATAAGAACTTAGGCATCTCGTCATTCTATTCAACTGCCACTTACAGCCTTTAATATAAGACCTTATTTAACTTTTATTTTGGTCCTAAATATAAGACCTCAATCCACTTTATCTCTTATATTTATCCATTTTTTTCCAAGATAGTCTTTCTAATAATAGTAGTTCTAGCCGATAAACTTGATTAGCAAATACTCCCTCCGTTCCTTATTATAAGAGACGAATAACCGAATTACGTTGATAAAAAAAACAGTTAAAATTAGTTAAGAACAATCAATGTGTAAAAAGTATAATCTTTTTTCCAAAAATGCCCTCATTAATAAGGAGAGAGAGCATGAGAGAGAACAATTAAATTATTAAAAGAAAAAGAAGTGGGTGGGAGAGAGAGTGTGAGTTAGAGACAATAAATATGGGTAAAATAGGAAACCAACACAAAAAAGTAGAGATAACTTTTAAGTGTCTCTTATATATAGGAACATGCCATAAGCATCAAATGTCTCTTATAATAAGGAACGGAGGGAGTATATTTTAAGACAGATAACACCTATTTATTACAAATAACTAACTTAACTTATTTTCTTAATCTACTCAAATTAGTCAATTAGCTCTTATATTTAGGACTGGAGGTAGTAATTCATAACTCCATAGAATTAACCTCATGCATGCACGGTATTTTATAGCTAACGAAGCATCTTTATGCAGCATATAAATATTGATTACGGAATGTCACCAAAAAAAAGGCGAAAAATGATTGCGGAAAAAATCAAAAGGGTGTGAGACCTGGAGTTTATTCTCATTTGGCTTCAATCTTCTGAAAGCAAACTGTTGGTTCTCTCGGATGAATACATATTGAAAGAAAGATCTATCAGATTTGAAGTCCGCTAGCTGCAACGGCTTCGCTGGACAGAAATCTGCATAATTTGTTGAGCCCAGTGAATCTTTCTTGCATTTGAGGCCAGTGACTCAAAAACTATCGGAAAAGAGATAAATGGAGAACAAAACGAAATGTAACCAGACACATTGAAACTGTAGATTTCAAATAAGCACATCTAAATATTAGATGGTTTTTTATGGAGTTCAAAATATGTAAGCTTTCAAACTCAAAATTTTAAATTCCTTTGCAAATAATTCATTGCAGCCGTATTCAAATTCAGGATAGGGATGTAGTTTGCTCATCATATTCATCGACTTCTGAAATTGAGCAACAAACTAAAATCATTTAATTAAGAAGACATGGTGATATAATTTGGAACCCAATTTTTCATTAGATAATGTTCTTCAGAATAGGCTTTCATCATAAGTATATACATATTACCAATTTCATATTTCAACTCAATAAGAAAACAACTTACAATGCAGTAGCCATAACTCACAAGATCAATCTGAGCATAGCCATCTTGACCTGAAATTTTCATTGACACCTAAATATTTAGTTATAATTTGATTTTATAAAAATGTTATATTATCCTATGAAATTAGTTGTCAACTGACACTGTCTAAGTTGTCAACAGCTCTACTTGGATTGTTAATACTTATTGTTGAGGTTGTCAATGTATTTTCACATTAAAATTCTACTATAATCCTACTGAGTTTAGTTAAAGTTCTTAATGCCTTTGAAAAGCCTCCCATTTCAGTGTTAAAGTTGTTATATTATACTATTTGATTATAATTTATTCTTATATGGAGGTTATGTGATCCTATAAAATAAGTTATCAACGGATACTGCTTAAGTTGTCAACAGCTTCTCATTAGGTTGTTAATAGTCACCACTGAGGTTGTCAATAGCAATGGCAGAGAAAACGTGAATCGAGAATCTGAAGGGTAGTAATGTTATTTTACAATTAAAATATAATATTCTAAGATCCCTTGAAACCTGCTAGTAATTTTGATATTTTATAAACTTTAGATAAATAAAGTCTACTCTTGAGAAAACCTGTGTGTCGTTTTCCCAAGAATATCTGTCATTTGGGGGTAAGGAACGCGTGACTGTTTGGAAAGGCGGCGTTTGCCGATCCAAAAGGTAGAACTGCCGTATTAGGATTAAATTGCCACATGTGGGCGTCTTCTGACCACAGATCCAAACATGGACTCACAATTATTCCTCTAATTTTATTTTCCTAATTTTAAACGGAAAAGAAAGAATCAATTTTTGGAATAATAATTTTTACCAAAGTCCACGCAATAGACAGGATGTGTATGGCGTGACAATGATTGTGATTTTATGGAGTACACGATCATTATAGTTTTGTCTTGTCTAATTTAATACACAACTATGTAGAGACTAGAGTGATAAAATTGAGTGTTAAAATTAATTAAAATACACTTTTAATTAATTTATTGGGTCCGTTTAATTATTTCCGCACATAATTTTTTTCACAAATAATAATTAACCAAAACTTCTCGATGAGAATATCTAACTATATATCTTCTTTTTTCCAAGGTAATTCTATATCAAATATATAACAAAGCTTTATTATCCATACCTGAATTATAAATAATATGATTTATTTTTTAGATATTTATTTAATCTTTTACTTTTGCTTCATACTTTATATAGAAAATTGTTTTTAAAAAAACATTTCCAATTTTTTATTAGAAAGAATTAGCTTGGTGTTCTAATTTTATTTGATGTCCTGAAAAAGAAAAAAAAGAAAATCAAAACATAGAATTTACTTAAACTTTGCACCTTTTTAGCAGCACATCTAAATCAATCTCATTTAAAAATTTGATATTAAACATATCAACTTTTAGATACAACTAAATAATTTCAATGATTATTATGTTAATTGTTATTTTTCCAACAGAATCTTATGTAGGCGAGCTTTACTTTTCATGTAAACTAGATGTGTGGCAAGTCAGAGATGAAAAAAAGTGATACTCCTTTCATCCTCAATTATAAGAGCCTTTTTTTTTTTTTAATTTGCAATCTCAGAAAATATTTTAGGTTAATTGATATCTAAAGCATTTTTATTTCTTTCAGCCCTTGCATTAAATTTTTAAATTTTTAGAAGAAGAGAGCCATAAGATTTTAATCATTTATTAAGACACATGAAACGTATTCTTTAATTATTCCTGGAAAACTTTGCAAAGAGTTATAACTAGGGACATCAATCCCCATAACATTGGTTCTTAGGCTCTCGAACTGAATTAATTTATGAGAAAATTCCGACGAAGAATTAGGTAATAAATGTGTAAAGGAAAACGAATCCAAATTTGTCGTCCTATACATATGATAAAATCAGGGAGGTTCTTCTTTACCAAAATAAACTCCAATTGGCGTTTATTAAGTCAACGTTGAACGAAAAAAACAAAAATCTATCCAATTATTTAGGTATTGGGTCAATATATTATCATTAATGAAATGACACATAACTATAGATAAATAAATAAATAGATCTATAACAAACTTGTTCATTCACCTAATCAAGCAAAATAATGTCAAATCATGCATTCTATAAGTATAGAGTACAGTTGTTCAAAGTTATTCATGTTAATTATGATTATTAATCATGTTGAAAATATAGTAAGAACTTGTTGACAAAAGATCATGACTTATTTTACAAGTGTATTA